CAGGCCTGGGCTGGATTCGAACCTGCCACCTTAAGTGTATGTGGCTGGTACCTTAGCCACTTGAGCCACAGGTACCGAGCCCTCATGTCAGTGTTAAATATCCGTCTATATCTTCTTCTGTCTTTTCTTTGAGGTTCCAGTTCTTGTTAAAGTTTTGTTTGAATTTTTTCACATTTACTTATTTATTTGGGAAATTTAGGGGGCACATGTTTGGTTTACATGCTTTGTTTTTGTACAGATTGAGTCAAAGTTGTACTCTTCACCCAGATAGTGTGACTGTACCCAAAAGTGTGAATTTACCTATCCCCTCCTCTCCCTTCCCCTTTTTCTTGACTTAATTTCAAAAATTCTCATGCTAAGTTAATATCCAAATGTGTCATTCTAGTAAACTTAAAAACTATTTATAAAGCAGAGGGAATCTTTTAGTGAACTTCCATGTATCTATGACCCAGCTTCAACTTGTCAGCTTACACCTGATTGGTGTATCATCTATACTCTAACCAACTGCCCCCTCCAATCACAAAACCTCGAGAGATGACCACCTCCCTACATTGACCACCTCAAGTTGACCTCATTTCCATAGACCAGACATGCATTGCAGGTATGTGTCAGCACAGTAGGCCTAGTTCCTTATGTTGACCACCTCTGTATGTTGATCAGTTTATTACAGTCCCTTAGGTGGTCAACTTCCAATAAATTCTACTGTATTTTGAAGCAAATCTTGGACATATCACCTTGGGTATCCCTAAAAAATAGAAACTTTTTATTAAAAGATTAGTGTGTTTAAATGTTTAATGCATTCAGTTTATTTTGGTATTTAGTTTATTTCAGGGATTTAATTTTATTTCTCTTTTTAAATAGCTAGTTGTCCCCAAACCACATATTGACTACTTCATCCTTTTATTAATTGACAAGAAATGCTACCTTAATCATATATTAAATTCTCACATACTTGAATCTGTTTCTGGTTTGTTTTTGTTTTTTTTTTTTTAATATTTTGAGACAGGGTTCTGTTCTGTTACCTCAGTTAGAGTTTAGTGGTGTCATCATAGCTCACTGCAACCTTTAACTCTTGGGTTGAAGCAATCTTCCTGCTTACACCTGCCGAGCAGCTGGGACTACAGGCACACACCACCATGCTTAGCTGATTTTTTATAATTTTTTGTAGAGATGCCTCAGCTTCCCAAAGTACTAAGATTATAAGCATTTAGCTACTGTGCCCACCCCTACTGTTTCTGAATTTTTTATCCCATTGATCTTTTTCTTTTTTCCTGTATCACATTTGGGTTTTTATTTTATACTTTTGTCACATGAAAGTGGTACTAAATTTTTTTTTTGTATTAAATCCTAGCTGTGTACATTAATGCAATCATGGAGAATAAATTTTTTGGGTTATTAATCTAGCATGAAAACAAAACTAGTGGGAGATTAAGTTTGTTTACTTAGCTAAACAAACATATTTAAAAGAAAAATATTTTCTTTCAGAGATCCTTTAATGTGGAGAGCTGTGATGGGAACTAATAAAATACATGGGAACCATGCACGTACCAAGAAGATCAGAATCAAAGCGATCATCATCCATCCACACTTCATTCTGGAATCCTACGTAAACGATATTGCACTTTTTCATTTAAAAAAAGCTGTGCAGTATAATAACTATATTCAGCCTATTTGTCTACCTTTTGATGTTTTCCAAAACCTGGACCAGAACACAACGTGCTTTATAAGCGGCTGGGGAAGAACAAAGGAAGAAGGTACTTGCAGTCAGCCTTTTCCTGAGACGCACCTTCCCGATGATTGGCAGAGGAAGTCAGTTTTATATAGTCATGTGCTGCATAACAACATTCGGGTCAGTGCTGGGCCACTTACACAGGGCTGTTCCCGGGAGATTACAATGCCGTACTTTTACTGTACCTTTTCTATGTGTGTTAGGTATGTTTAGTTGCACAAAGATAATACTATTGTTACAGCTGCCTACAGTATTGAGCATGGTACCACGTGATGTGGGTTTGAAGCCGGAGAGCGGCAGCCTGTACACACAGCCTCGGTGTGCAGCCACTGTACCGTCTGGGTTTGTGTCCGTCCACTCTGTGATGCTTAAGCGATGACAAAATTGCCTAATGATGTCATTTCCCAGAGCAGTCTGAGAATGTGCAGAATCAACAATATAGTATAACATGCAACCAGTGTACCAAAATCTATTTATATACACTAGGGATAATTGTATTTGTCTGTTGGGGTTTTTTTTTTTTTTGAGATAGAGTCTCACTATGTCGCCCTCCATAGAGTGCCAAGGCATCACAGCTCACAGCAACCTCCAAGTCCTGGACTTAGGTGATTCTCTTGCCTCAGCCTCTCGAGTAGCTGGGACTACAGGTGCCCACCACAGCACCCGGCTAGTTTTTGTTGCAGTTTGGCAAGGGCCAGGTTCAAACCCACCACCCTCGGTATATGGGGCTGGTGCCCTACTCACTGAGCCACAGGTGCCGCCCTAAAATTGAAATGTTCTGAACGGACAAATCACAGGGACAGAAAGTAGATTGGTGATGCCAGTGGCTAGGGAGGTGAGGGGGACAGAGAGTGATGGATAATGGGGTGTTCTGGAATTAGTAGTGATAGTTATACATGTTTATGAATATACTAAAACCCACTGAATGAAGACATTTTAAAGGGTGAATTTTATAGTACGTGAGTTATATCAATGCAATGTATATGTGAAGAAATACCTGTATAGTACATATTAGGATAATTAATTAACTTTAATGTTAAATGTGAAAATTGATGGGGATAGACTCACAAAAACACTAAGACATAATCAGAGGATGAAGAAATGCTTCCCCACTCCCCACACCTTCCCATCACATCACTATTTACCGCAGTGCCTTTTACACCCATGCATCATGTCCAATTTTCAACAAAAGAAATTACAGGCACACTAAAAGGGAAAAAAAGTCTGACAACACAGGGGAAATACAAGAAACAGACTCAAATATGGCGAGGATGTTGGCATCACCAGACCAGGAATTTAAAACAAGGGTTAATATGCTAAGGGCACTGATGGGAAAAGTAGACCACAAGCAGAGATGGAAAGTCTAAGAAAGAGTTAAAAAGAAAAGCTAGAGAGCAAGGAAGTGACCTCTAGAAATGAAGGTGCCTTTGACATGTTCATTATTGGACTGGACATGGGTGAGAAAAGAATCTGAGCTGGAGGGTACATCAATGGACGCTTCCAAAAGCAAAGAGAAAAAAAGACTGAAAAAGGCCCCGGAATATCCAAAAACTGCTGCACAACTATAAAATGTGTTAACGTTTGCATAGTGGGAATACTGGAAGAAAAAAGGGAGAAAGGAACAGAGGAGTTACATGCAGTGCAGGGCCGCCCCCTTATCTGAGGGAGGATAGGCCCCAAGACCTCCAGCGGGTACCGGGAACCTGGGATGGCTCCAAACCCACTGCGCTCAGTCTGGACGTGTCTCTGTTTGTGTCTTCCACCCACAAATTTAACACCTTCTCCATCGTAACTAAACACTTAGGCCTACTGTGGCTGTACCTGGCAGTTTGCCGTTCACAGCAGTACTAACATTTCTTTTTCCTTCGTCACAGTTTCACAGGCAGAAGATCCTTTCTTAGTACAGACTTAGCAACCTCAGCTAAGCCACCATGTGATTGTTTCCTCCTCCTCCTCCTCCTTCCTTCTCTTCCTCCTCCTCCTCTTCTTCTTCTTCCTTCTCTTCTTCCTCCTCTTCCTCTTCTTCTTCTTCTTCTTCCTCTTCTTCGCCTGGGCTGGAGCGCAGTGGCATCATCATAGCTGACTGCAACCTCAAACTCCTGGTCTTAAGCAATCCTTCCGCCTCAGCCTTCTGTTTCTTCTTACTAAGTTGAGAACTTACACTTTTTCACTTAAAGCACTTTAGGGCTTCTCTTTTGCATATCTAAATTTCCAGCATCACTACTCTTATTTCTAAAATTTTCCATTCTGTAATATTTTCAGAACACGTGTAACTGAAGCCATGGAAAATGAAACTGCAGATAAAAGGGGACTACTGTAATAATGACTGAGAATTTTCCAAAATTAATGTGCGACACCAAACCACAAATGCAAGAAGAATACTCAACCAAATAAATGTTAAAAAAAAAAAAAGCCACATTACACCTAGGCATAGAATATTCAATCTGCAGAAAATCAAAATAAAGAAAAAATACTGAAAAAAAAAACGGAGGGAAAAAAAGAGCTTACCTATACAGGAACAAAGTAAGAAATACGTCCAACTTCTACTGAGAAACTATGTAAAGAATAGACTGGCTTGGCGCCTATGGCTCAAGTGGCTAAGGCGCCAGCCACATACACCTAAGGTGGCGGGTTCAAATCCAGCCTGGGCC